GCCGTCGTCCACCCGCGAGCCGGAGGCAGGTGAGGGGCGGGTCGGGGCAGATCGGGCAGGCCGGGGCCCGCTGCCCGCCCCCGGGACCCCAGACCCCAGGGCCCGCCCGGGACCCCGGACCCCGGACCCCGACGCTCCTCGGTCTCCAGCGCTCTCCCAGCATTTTCGGGGACCCCAGGCCCCCAGGCCCCACCCGGGCCCCTCTGGCCCCGACAGCCTTCCAGACCCAGGGACCCTAGAGCCCCAGAGGTCCCCCTGGACTCCCGAGAGCTACGGCAGCTCCAGGGCAGAGCCCCCTCCTCTGTTCCAGAGACTCTCCGCCGCTGGAGATCCCCGGGCCTCCTCCGAGCCCCCTGCCGTGCGGCCCCGCCGCCGTTGCTGGGTGGGGCTTTTCTGCCACTTGTCCCTGAGACCCAGAGATCCCCACGCCAACACCGTCGAGGTTCCCTCTGGCTGGTCTCTGCCAGGAGGCTTCTATCCCTTCCTCTGAGGTCGGGGAGCATCCAGAACTCTTCCCGAGGTTTGTGACAATAATGGAAGTAGAAACATAACCAGTCACCTGAGCAGCACTTCCTTTAATTAGTTCATTTTTGGAGACAGGTTCTCACCATGTAGCCCAGGCTGGCCTTGAACTGCATACTCCTGCCTCAGCCTTGCACGTGCTTAAGAACCACTTTATAACCGAACAGGGGGTGTGTGCTTTGGGGCCCCCATGTGTTGTGTTTATTGTTGCAGAGGCCAGAGCGGGCGGTGTTTAACTTTTAATGCCACTGTGGGGCTCGCGAGAGTGGAGGGAGGCCAGGAGTTGGGGGCAGATCAGGGCCCTTTAGATCATCTCCTCGCTTTGATTTTTGCATTCCTAGAACTAGTCCATCCTCCCCACCTCCGTGTGGTGGAGCCAGCATTGTTTTGAACTCCTTATTCGGCCTGCCTCACAGGACTGAGGCAAAGTGGTGGCTGGAAAAGGACTTTTTTATCGTGACCTTGCCGATGGAGGAGGCTGGCTAATGTGCGCTCTCCCCGGGAGGAGGCGATTACACCCGAGATAGGTGATCGCAAGCTGGTGGCGCCTCCCTACCCTTAGGCCGGTTGTCCAATGGTGCGCTTCTGATCCTCATCGAGAGATGACTCTCCGGCCTGCAGATCTTGAGGACGAAGGTCATCCTTTCCTCGGGCCACACCTGTCACTGAGTGGCTTGCCTGGAGCAGTTCGTGACTATGACACAATGGGCGAAAGGCAGACTTGCCTGATTATTGTGGCAGACCAGTGTCCTGCGAGGAGCGGGCACTAGCCCAGCTCTCTGTGCTCTCTCTGGTGACAAGGACGCAGCCCCTGCTGCAGGGCTGGGTTGGAGGGTGACCGGCCGTGTGGTCTGTTTTATGTGCGGGTCAGGTGCGGCGGCTGGAGCATAGCTGGACTGGGGGTTAAGGAGGGCAGATTTGGGAGGCGTGAGCTGTGCCTGGAGTGCAGCCTCACCCTGAGGGTGGGTGGCTGGGGTTGTGTTGTCGGCCTTTCCTGAGGGGACCGGGCCACCACTGTGAGGAAGGGGCAGTGGGGAGAAGCGGTGGCGTTTGAGGAGCAGGTGATGCTTCAGGCAGGAAGGTAGCCTGTGCTTGGGGAGCGGGAGGGCGGGGTCCCAGTAGCCAGAGTGGGTGGGACTGGCCATCTCGCTGAGCGGTTGGAGGTGGGCATGGTGGAGAAGAGGGCCCACCAGGGCCTGGGCACAGGCCTTCTGAATGGTCACCCTGGTCTTGGAGGAAGCAAGACCACGAGAGAGGTGCAGTGCCCTGGAGCATGATGGTGGCGGTGGTGACCACGGCCTCCTCATCAGACTTAGTGCCTGGCGTCCCCTCAGGAAGTGCACGCTTGGCACTGTGGGGCAGGAGGAAGGGGCCGGTGGGCAGAGTGCAGCCAGGGCGCGGCTGGGCTGTCAGCAGCGGCCCTCTGAGACAGTGTGGGGCCCCACGGCCGAGGCGAGGGTGTCCAAACTGTGAGGGCTTCAAGGTGGTGGCAGACATATGGAATAGACAGAGCCTCAAGAAGGTCTCGGGGGCTTCCTGCCTAGGGGCCTCCTGGGGGAGGGAGAGGAGCCTGCTGAGCCCCGGGCACTAGAACTTCCTGTGATGAGGACAGCGGGCTGACTGTCATCCGGGGCAGCAGCCACAGGGGACCAGCATGACAGAGGGACTGCAGTTTTTATTTTAATGAATGAATCCTGGGAAGGCGCCCCCATCACACACCTGGGGTGCCGTGGAAGGCACACTGCTCCAGGCTTTGTTCTTGTTTGTTTGAGACCGCGTCTTGCTGTGTAGCCCAGGCTGGCCTGGAGCTTGTAGTAATCCTCCCACCTCAGCCTTCCAGTGCTGGAATTACAGGCACCACCTTGCCTATCTCAGGCTTTGTTCTTTGAAATGTTCTCCAGTGTAAAGCTTCCACCCTCCAAGGTGATGGTGTCGTTTCTTTTCACATGGAAAGACCAGAGGCTCAAAGAGTGGGTTGTCCCGGTATTACTCAGGGCAGGCCTGCTGTGTCCTGCGTCCTTGTAAGGAGCCCGGAGCCGGGAGCCGGGAGCCGGGAGCCGGGAGCCGGGAGAAGGTCGTGCCGGCATCGTCGGCATTGTTTCCTGGTTTAGCCTGCTTATCTGTTCCCTGCTGAAGTTAACATGGACAGTCCTGTGACAGGCTAGCAAAGACCAGATGGAAACGCTTGCGAGCTGCTGGCCTTGCCCAGGCCTCCTGAGGGGGGACCAGTGGTCACTGGCAGTGTTTCTGAGAAGGAAGGGGGTGAGACAGCGGGAGAAGCCGCGGGGAGGCCAGGCCGTGGGCCTTGCTGCGTGTGGAGGTGTGTTCAGGAGGTGGAGGTGGCACCTGAGACAGAGCTTTGGGGTCATAGTGGACCAGACAGTGCCCAGGAGAGCAGCAGGAGTCTGGGACACAAGCCGGGACTGAGTTTACAGCTTACTGTACTCCTTGGGGGACACTGACCCGGTCGTTACCTCTCAAGAGTCTCAGTTTTCACTTCAGGAGAAAAAGGAGGGTATTTGGTGTCACATAGTAAGGAGGAGCTTACTTCCAGCTTTAAAATTCTGAGTTTCATCAGATTACTTTCTAGTATCTCTCTCTCCTCTCTGTCTCTCTCATTGAGACAGGGTCTCACTATGTAGCCCAGGATAGCCTCGAAATGTGGTGATCCTCCTGCCTCAGCTTCCCAAATCCTGGGATTACAGCCTAGAGCATGTTTTACGGGTCCTCAAGCTGGGTAAACGCCAGAGGTTCAGTGTGCTCTGGCCTCCCATTATCAGTAAGCAGTGAGGCTTCTTCAGCTGTGTGACACGTCCCATCTGAGGGACAGACTGTAAACTGCATGTGCTTCAGTGTACCACAGGTCTCGGGACAACAGTGGGTAGACCTGTTTGCCCTTCCGGGTGGCACCAAAGTTAGAAGAGGTGCAAGACTACACCACGCTGTTGGCTTCTTAAAGGGGCTCAGTGTCGTTCCGGACCAGGTGGGGGAAAGCAGCGCCCACATCGTCGGGTTATGGGGCGGGACGAGTGGGGAAACACTTGTGACGTGCGTAGTGAGGTGCTGTGGATCTAGCAAGGGCTGTACGCGTGACGGTAGTTAACATTGGCCTTACTTTTTTTTGAGGTGCTGATGGTGCAACCCAGGGCTTTACCACTGAGTGGCATCCCCACCCCTTGTTGGTTTGTTTGTTTTTCTTTTAGCTTTCTGTGATCTTTAGCTTTCTCACTGCTTAGCTGTTTCCCTGGTTTGCGCCCCAATGCCGTGCAGTTCTGTTTGGGGTGCGGGTTTTAAGAAGCCAGTTAACATGTTTGATCTTTACAAAATGGGCAGTTTTTCTCTGTTGTACTTAACTCAGCTGAATAAAAACTGTTTGAGTAGGGTGTGTTCACATTAATGGTCCACATCTACAAATTGGAGGAAGCAGTTCATCCTTCTCATCCTTGGTGACCACTGGGTTAGAGTTTCCCAGAGCCGTTGGTTCAGTCACAGCCTGGTTGTGGGTCCGCCCTGGAGAAGCGGTGCTGAATCACAGCGCACGGATGTGGGGCAGCTGTCCGCGGTGGCCGAGCATCTTCCAGCTCATACGCGTCTTTCAGCTGCTCCCCTCACTACACTGCGGCAGGCCAGCCGGGCGAGTGGCGGCTCTCGATTGACAGGGGAAACTGAGGCTGGGAGAAGTGTCCTGGTGTGGGGGTGGCGACCTCCCCTCACCCCAGTCGGTTTGCTCTGCCAGGTCCCAGTGTGGCTTTGGTGCCTGAGCCTGATCCGTGTGGCTCAGGAAGTGCACACATTTTTGGCCATTAGTGAGTGGCTTGCCTCTGTGTCCAGAGGCTCTCGAGGGGCTCCCTGGGATCCCCTGGGATCTGTCACCGGGCCCAGATGTTTGCTGGTGGTTAGAGACGTGGCTTCCACGTGTGCTGGGCACTTGCTCTTGTTGCCTCCCCACGCTGACCCACCCACTAACGCTGGAAGCCAGCTGCGTGACAGAGGAAGACTGCGGGCATCAGGAAAGGGAGAGGTGATGTTGGTGCCAGCTGGTCCCAGCACCCAGGTGGCAGGCTGGAGGGTACTGGCTTTCAGGCTTGTGGCCTTCCAGCCTGCCTTGGGCTTGTGTTCGGAGGGAGACTGGCAGGTGTGCCCTCCTGGAAGGGTGTGGCAGGCCACAGGGTCCACCTTGGTTACTCGGATTAAACTCAGGGTGTCGGAGCCTGCTGTCTCCTAAGTAGCGTGTGTCTACACCATTTTGTGAGGTGACTTCACTAACAGTGGCCGTGGCGGCGGTAGTGATAGTCTTGGCTGTCACCACCTTGTTGCCCAGTTGCCTTCGAGCCCTAGCCTGGCCGTCCCTGCAGGTTCTAGGGCTGTCATGCTCCCTCACTGCTGGGACCAGCTGCAGGTGAGTGAGAGGCCAGCCCTTGGAAATGCTGCTGGTTGTGTGGGCATCAGTGTGACCTCGCGCTTGGCGCCTGTGAGCATCTGTCTGCTGCCTGGTCCTCTGCACCGTGATAGGTGCCGACAGCCTGTGAGTGCCTCTTCCTGCTGTTTATGCTGTGTAAAGCCCATTTGACCCCCTGTTTTCTGGTGCAGGGGAAGGATGCAGGGATGCTCTATCACTGAGCTATATCCCCAGCTGCTCTTTTTTTTTTTTAAGGGTGGGGTGGTTTTTTTTTTGAGACAGGTTCTCACTATGCACTTCAGGCTGGTCTTGAACTTGCAACAATCCGCCTGCCTCAGCCTCCTGAGTGTTGGGATTATAGGTGTCTGCTACCATGCCCAGCTCCCAGCTGTTCTTAATGACTTGTTTTCTTTCGGTATTGGACCTTCACACTGACCAACATCTCCAGCCCATTTTTTATTTGAGAAAGTGTCTCATTAAGTTGCCCAGGCTGAATTTGACCTTGGGCTGCTCCTGTCTCGCTTCCCAGAGTGCTGGGATTTCAGACATGTGCTACCACTTTGTTTTTTGTTTTTTGTTTTTTTTTTTTGAGACAGGGCCTTGCTAAACTGCCCAGCTTGGCCTCAGACTTGCAGTCCTCCTACCTTAGCCTCTTGAGTAGCTGGGATGACAGGTATGTACCATCATAGCCAGCTTATAAGTAATAGAAAGAAGCTGATAGTTTTTAAAAATATTTTTTAAGGATCCTTCCCTTGAGTTTTTATAATTCACAGTGCTCGTTAAGTGAAACCGTAGCTTGTAATCAAAAGTGAATACTAGATTTTTCTTATGCCACTTTTAATAATTAGCATTGGTGACAGCCCCTGAATCTTCCTGGCCTCTCGCGCCAGGTCCCACTCTGGTCTTCCTTGCCCACCTCTGCTTTTCATACCTGTGTAGAGCGGTGGCGGCGGCAGTGAGCTGTTGCTCAGTGCTGGGTCGTGGCGGGGTGACTCACACAGCCATGAGCACCTGCCTGAGTGAGGCCGAGGGGCTGAAGGCGCCCTGTGCCTGGGTGCAGGTGGGGCTGGCTGTCAGCCTGGGTCCTCTGACTGTCTCCTGCGAGGCTGCCTTGTGGAGCGCAGAGTGCAGAGCGCAGGCTGCACTGTCAGAGCGCGGACTTGCCTCCGCTTGCAGCTCAGTGCCCGATGGGCGGTGGGCAGAGCAGTCGTGTTGAAGGCCAGCAGCAGTGTCTGAGGTGTGGTGGCACGGGAGGCCTGGTGGGGCGTGGGGGCATTGGAGGCCTACCATACCAGGCTAGTGATGGGGGAGGTTTGCCTTGCTAGCTGAATGAAAATAAGCTCACTTTTGTAGTGTATCGTATTTGAACTAGACCCTTTTTGATGAGCATTTATTTAGTACTGAGTGCTGAGGCTCAGAGGCAGAATAAGGCAGTGTCTAGCTGTTGCATACCTAGTTTATAAAACATTTGTGACCTGTTCTAAGCAGGAAACATCCTGCTGGTACTTTTATTAGAGGCTGTGGATAAAAAGGACAGGAATTGCTTATAAGAATCTGTATTGGGGCTGATTTCGCTTTTAGAAAAATGCTGATAGTTCCTTGAAACAGAAGGGATTGCTGAGATGACTGGGCTTGTGACGACATGATCACCAGGGAAACTGAGATGCAGTATGTGACAGGCCTCCGGAGGGTTTTGTTCCTGTGGTCTGGAATCCTACTGGCTTGGAGGTGTGGCGTGGACGGGAGCCAGGTGTCAGGCTGGGTGTCCCTCGGAAACTTCGAGGGTTGGGCTGTGCAGATCTCCCCAAGACATCGGTAGAGAACCAGGGGAGATTTTGGGTAGTCTCCAGGTTATTGTGAGATTTAGTTCTGGTCTTTATGCTGCTGCCCAACAGGAAATGAGGTAATGTCTTTAAACACAGTATTTGTCCGGAACTGTAAATGCCTCATATGGCAGCTCTGCAGCTCTCCCTGCTGGTCGCTGTGCTGAGCGCGGATGTCAGGGGGCCTTCCTTCCTTCCTCTGTTGGCTGCTTTGACCCTGAGAGGTCCACATTGGTTTCAGCATCTGGATGGCCCGCGCCTGTCGGGTTGGGAGCTGGGTGACTGTTGGAAGGCCCTTGGAGGAGCTGGCTGTGGGCCCAGCAGGGGTGCCGAGAATGTGGAATCATTGAGGGAACAGGAGACAGGATCTTGTACAGTCGCTCCTGGGCTTGAATTTGTGATCTTCTTGCCCTGGTCTCCTAGTAGTGGAGTTATGGGTATGTGCCACCATGCCTGGCTTGAACTAGAGATTTTATTTTTTTTGATCCTGGGGCTTAAACTCGGGGCCTTCACATGGAGCTGCACTCCCAGCCACCCCTTCTTGTTTTGAGACAGGGTCTCACTAAGTTGCTACGTTGCTCAGGCTGGGCTTGAATTTGTAATTGTCCTGTCTCAGCCTCCCAGTGTGCTGGGATTACAGGTCTGTGCCTCTGTGCAACCCCAAGAATTAGAGATGACAAGTACCAACTCCTACAGTCATTATGTACTGCAAACATATAGTAAGGAGAATTTTAAAACGTTTTTAAAAAGCTCCTCATGTGATAACAGTCATTTACCACAGCCTTCCCTCCATTTGTCTATAGGATTTGGAAACATCCTCTAATGTGTGGAGAAGCTGAGGCAAACGGCCCCTCCCGTAGGTGGGAGGAGTGCTAGTCCTGCAGCCGTGTGGGTGGACAGGCCCAGGCAGGGCGGGTGGGGTCATCAACTCTGGGTACCTCGCGTTACCCTGCAGCAGGAGGCCCGAGTCCTGTGGGATGTTGAGAAAGGAAGGCGGGTGCAGCCTCAGCCCTCGACCCCAGCTGGGCCCCCAGCTCGGAGCCCACACATGTCACAGCCGCACTGGCGAGCCCCGAGCCCTGGAGACGCGGCCAGTGAGTAGGAAGCCGTAAGTTACGGTCGGTACACTGAGGGTGAGCAGTCGGGGCAGTCAGCGAAAGGCCAGGCGGAGAGCCAAGCGCCCCTCTTCTGCAGGGGAGGGATCGCGTCATGTAGTGGAGAGCCGCAGCCTGCTGCTTCTCCTTGGAGAAGTCCTAGCGAGTGACCCAAAGTGGACCTGACCCTGCGTGACTGCTGACTGCAGCGGGAGAAGGGGAGTCGGCGGGCAGCCTCACCCCTCTGGCAGGTGACCCACGGAGCCTCACGTTCCTGGCGTGTGGACTGTGGCTGCTTAGCCTCAGGGGAGGTGACGGCAGCTGCAGGGCCTCGGTGAAGCTGGGGTCTCTTCAGCAGGGGTGTGGGTTGTGTTGCTCGGTGGTGACTGCAGGATACCCACGGGCTCTCCCGCCTCCTGCCGTTTGTGTGCTCACCCTGGAAAATTAGCCCTGGGTGACGCGGTTCTAGTGGAGGGGAGGAGAGATCACACATTCAGACCGGTGGCTTTCAGTCATGCTGCAGCCCAGCCGGCGCCTCCTGCTCCACTTGAGCAGGCGGGGCATGGTGTCTGGGGCGCCATATCCTGAGTGCAACAGCTCTGCTGCTCGCAGCCTCTCCCGGGTGGGGGCTTCGCAGTGAGGTGGAGCCTGGGCGCTCGCCCTGTGGTCCTTGTGTCAGCAGAGTGGGGAGGCAAGGCATCGATGTGGCATGAAGATGTGGCTTGTGTGTGTGGTCACGAGCTGTCACAGTGCAGGGGAAGTGCTCTGTCAGTGCTTGAGAAGGGGTCTGCACGCGCTTTCAGCTGTCCGACTGTAAAAAGCCTAACAGGGACTCGCAGACGGGAGGGAACCCCCGTGCTTAGTCAGCAGGGTTCTCGGCTGTATTTTTCGTTGTTTACAGTGAATATTAGCTCTAGAATTGAGGGAAACGTTGTGGAGTGTAGATAGCTGGGTGGGTAGAGACCGGATGGTGCGAGAGTCCTGGTTTACATCACGTGGGGTTCGTTCGGCCGAGGTGAGGCCTGGCACCTGGATGTGGTGCCTGGAAGCCTCAGGCCCAGCACCGCAGAGCCGGGCCTCTCCCCCAGGAAACCCCGTGCGCGTCCTCCTGTGAGCAGGCATGTGGGATGGGTCTGCCCGGAGCTCTTTGGAGCCGTGTCTAAAAGGGACGCCAGAGTATTGTGGAGCCCCCGAGCCCCCTGTAACCTCTGCTCTGTGGTTCCTTCCCATCCAGCAGTGATGACCGAGCCTCTGACTGGCCTGGTGAGCCACATGAGGTTAGCAGTGTGGTTTAGGAACATTTTGTGGGTTGTTTTGTTTTGAGACAGGATCTCACTATGTCCTTCAGGCTGGCCTTGAACTGGCGTTGATCCTCCTCCCTCATCCTCCTGAGTTTGGATGTTTACTTTTTGTATGTGGTGTTTTTCAAGTATTCTAATTTAAATGGAGATCTGAGGCCTTTAATTCTAGACTTATTCTCACCTAGGATACTAATAAAAACTTTTGAGCCAGGCATGGTGACATATAGCTGTAGTCCTGGCAGTTGGGAAGCTGAGGCAGGAGGATGGCTGGAGATGTAGCTTAGTTTGAAATCCTGGTTTCATCTCCATTATCATTTGCCAGCGCACGTGCACGCCCCCCCCCAGCAATTATCTGGGAAATACAAGTTGCTTCTGATTACTTTTTTCTCTTTAGGATTCACAGATGGATTCAGAAGATAAGACAACAAATAAAGGTGAACAAAAATCAAGGTAAATGAACTCATGTCTACCTTCAGTCAGGTTTTTTGATCTTGGAGAATCTGGGAGAATCTGTCGTGAGGCTACAGAGACAGGAGTGAAATAGGACCTTGGGGCAGGCTGGGCCTCTGGGCCTGGCATGTAAGGAGCTGTCTTGGGGAGGCAGGGTGGCCCTCCTGAGGAGGGAGGCGAGTGGCTCCTCGGGCGCTGGCGGGGTCTTCGCTCTCACTGCCCGCAGGGATTGTTTGTGGTGGGCAGCTTGCGGAGGCGAGGGAGGCTCAGCCACCCGAGTCCCTGGTGGAGTGAGGGTTGAGCAGCAGAGTGAACGCCCAGAGCAGGAAATGCCAGGGCTTTTGTCTGCTGCTGGGGGGGTAGAGGGGACCGAGGGGACGGAGTGTGTGCCTTTAGGGCTGGTCTGGGTTTGACCTGAACGAGCCGCGCCCAGACTTGGGGTTGCAGTGCTTCTGTGCTGATACTTGTTCTTCCAATCCTTATGTTGAAGCAGAAAGTTTTTAAAAAGCCTCATCCGGAAGCAGCCCCAGGAGCTGCTGCTGGTCATCGGGACTGGCGTCAGCGCGGCCGTGGCCCCAGGCATCCCCGCCCTGTGCTCCTGGCGCAGCTGCATAGAGGCTGTCATCGAGGCTGCAGAGCAGCTGGAGGTGCTGCACCCCGGGGATGTCGCCGAGTTCCGGAGGAAGGTGATGAAGGACCGGGACCTGCTGGTCGTGGCCCACGATCTCATCCGGAAGATGTCACCTGTGAGTCTCAGACAAGGACTTGAGAGAGCATAGGTCTCAGCCTGGGTCCGGACCAGGCTGGGAGAATGTGTAGCGCCGGGCTGGTGAGCGCTGTGACGTCAGGTGGCCCCAGGGCAGGGCACAGTGCGCAGTGAGTGCCCTGCTGCGCTGGGCTCAGGGTGCCGTCCCCGCACGCTGGTCATGAGCTTATCACGTGTCGGCAGGCCAGCCGAATCTCTTCAGGGGCAGCTGCTCCCTTGACGCTGAGCGGGGAGAATGCAGCGTTTGCCTGCTGAGGAAGTGAGTGGGCAAGGAGTGCCATTGGTGACCCGGGGACAGTCACCGAGTGGTGTCCTTGATTGGGTCTGGGCACGGGGTGGGCTCGGTCATAGGCCAGCTGTGGTGTCGGGACACAGGTGCAGGGAAACTAGGCCGTGTGTGTGTGTGTGTGTGTGTGTCTGTGTGGTAGAGGCTGGCGCCGGGGTCTCCTCATTGCCCCTGTCTGATAGAGCAGTCCATGGGGTGGGTGGGCATGGACAGGGACAGGGACGATAGGGGAGTGAGGGCTGCTGTAAGGACACCAGAACTGTGGCTTCAGTGTGACAGCGAGTCAGTTATCACATGGGAATCCAGGCAGGGGAGCAGGGAGCCTGCGGTGTAGGGAACCAGGGCGCCGGCCCCATGCCCAAGGTGAGCGGCCCCTCCTGCCCTGCACGGTGGCCGTGTTCCTGCGGTGGGCAGGGAGGGTGGCGGGCTTCAGTGGGAGTCACTTGCACCCGTTTCCATCCCAGGCTACCCCAGGCTTTCCCCATGCTGGGAAAGGCTCTCGGGGAACCGGGCCAACCTCAGTGTCCTGTGACTCGGGGATGACTACCGCCACTGGGTGGGGGTTGGCGCGTACAGCCGGGGCCAGACCTGCTGTGCAGCCTGCTTCTGTGAAGGAGCTTCTGTTGGCACGTGGCCGCACCCATCCTTAACACTTCGTTTTGGCTGGGTTGGTGCCCAGCGACAGAGCTGAGTGGCTGCTTGAGACTGGCCCACAGGCCTGATGTATTTCCTCGGTGGTCCTTGCTGGACAGAGCGCTGGCCCCAGCACAGGAAGAGGAGGGGAACAGCTAGCGGGCCAGGGCGGCTGTGGCACGTCTGGGCATCGAAGGCCCTGACCTTCCTCTGCAGAGAGGCCAGCTCTGGGCAGTCGTGCGAGCCCGTGGCGCGCGTGCTGCAGCAGGCTGTTTGTATCATCGAAAGCTCTAAGAGGCGCGCCGTCCCTGCCCTAGGAGATGTTCTTTAGGTTTTCGCAAACCTTTGTCAGGAGGAGTTTCGGTGTGGGCAGTCAGCAGGGTTGGGGACTCCTCAAGGCGTTGCAGTGGCCTGAGTGAGCAGGGCAAGGTGTGTGCTGCCTGGGAGAGGAGACCTGAGGGGTGGGCAGCGTGTGGGTCCTGGCGGTGGCCTCAGGCACTGGAGTCGCAGACAGGAGGGAGGCTGGGCCGGATGGAAGCTCTGGAAAGGTCCTGCCGAGGGCTGGCACGGGTGCCGAGGGCTGGCATGGGTGCCGAGGGCTGGCACGGGTGCCGAGGGCTGGCATGGGTGCCGAGGGTGGGAGGGCGGTGGGAAGGGATAGAGGCAGAGCGGACCCTGCGCACGGCCTTGGAGCCTCCAGGACGGGGAGACCAAGCCCAGGCCACCCTGTCCTCCTGCCCCCGAGGGGGTGGCCAGCGCACCTCTGGAGGCCTCCCTGTCCTAAAGTCTTGTAAACCGTTGGGCCTGCAGCACCGAGAGCAGTTCTGCCTGGGAGCGGCAGGAGTCGTGACTCTGTCCCTCTCCCGCAGCGCACAGGCGACACCAAGCCCAACTTCTTCCAGGACTGCCTGATGGAGGTGTTTGACAGCCTGGAGCAGCACATCCAGAACCCCCTGGTGCTGCAGTCCATCCTCGGCCTCATGGACAAGGGCACCATGGTGCTCACCACCAACTACGACAACCTGCTGGAGCTCTTCGGGCAGCAGCAGAACAGGCCCATGGAGTCGCTGGACCTGAAGGACAAGACGAAGGTGGGGCGGGTGGCGAGGGAAGGTCCCTGACGGCCACAGGGAAGCCACTGAGTCTGTGGGACAGCCACGCCTGCCGCCTCAGGCAGCCGGGCCAGGTGGCGCCCTTGCCTCTCCACACGGCCTCTGCCGCTCTTCTGTCCTTTCATGCCGTCCCCAGGCCTGCAGAGCGCCGCAGTGTTTATTCACTGTAGCCCCTGAGAGATGTGGGCAGCAACGCGGTAAGAGCGAGACACCCCACCCTGCTGCTGCAGCTTTTTTTTTTTTGGTGGTACTGGGGATTGAACCCAGGGCATTCATACTGAACTATATGCCAGCCCTTTATTTTTCATTTTGTGACTATATTGCCAAGTCACTGAGTTGCCCAGGCTGGGCTCAAGTTTGTAATCTTGCCTCAGCATCTCAGAGTGCTGACATGTATCAGTGTGTGCCACAGTTGCTGGTCAAATTTTTTCTTTAGCAATCCCAGGATTTTTTCTTTTACAGTCCTATAATCTCAACACTCAGAAGGCTGAGGCAGGAGGACTGCCACAAGTTTCAGGCCTGACTGGGCTATGTAGTAAGTTTAAGGTCAGCCTGAACTATATATAGCAAGACCCCATTTCAAAAAATCAAAACAAATTTGGATTGCAATTTATACAAAGTTTTTTATTGTAGTTTTTCTTTACTATGATACTGGACATCTTCAAGGTATTAACCTGTTTTCAAAAGTGTGATTTTTAAATGGCAGTAGGATTCCAAGAAAATTATAATTGTTCCCCTTCTCTCTTTTCATTAGTGTAGTTTTACTGGTATAAATACACTACAATGAAAATCCTTATACCTTGGTGTTCCCATGTGTATTTCTTCAAGGTAAACTCCTAGTGGTGTTTCCTGTCAGGTGGCGTGGTGTTTTAACAGACTGCTGGTACAGATTACCCAGCTGTTTTCTGGGATCACCAGCTATTCACCCACAGCTAGGTCCATTTCCCATCTCTTGGCCAGCATTCAGTGTCATTAAAAAAGCAAAATATTCTGTCAGGTGTGGTGGTGCATGCTTATAATCCCAGCACTTGGGAGGCTGAGGCAGGAAGATTGCAAGTTTAAGGCCAGCCTGGGCTACATAGTGAAACTGTCTCAAAAGGAAAGAAAAAAAAACAAAAAACAATATATTCTTTACCCACTTGATAGGTGAAAATCTAAAATTTTTCTTTTTATTACTAGGCTGAGACGGTCAGTCTCCTTTCATTGATTTTCTTTGTGAACATGTTTGCATCTTTCATGTATTTACTTATTTTTTTTACTGTCCTGCCACCAGTGCTGCCTGTCACTTAGCTGCAGTGCCTCACGCTTTTCTCCATGGCAGTCTCTCCTGGGGTGGCCGTGGTCTTGGCTGCTGTTGGGGTGGCATGCATGGGACTTAGCCCTGGCAGGAGCAGGGCATGGGCTGCAGCCCTCCGGGGAGGCCAGTGGCCCCGTGTGAGTGCCAGCCAGCGAGAGGACACCCTCTGCTCCCCTGCCTGTCCCTGTCTGCCCAGCAGGCTGCGATGCCCCACACCCAGAGAGAGTCCCATGGACACACGCGTCTTTAAGGTGTTTCGCTGTGTCTTGAACTGAGATGGGTACAGTTAGCATTGGCTGAGTACTTTTCTGTCCATGTATACTTTCCCTTGGTGTAAAAATAACACATAAACCAGGTGATGAAAATGCAGTGTGCCTTAGAGGCTCTGCCCCCTGCCACGTGCCGGGGAGCTTCACTGCAGACGGCAGGCCTTTGCTACCGGCCGGCCACAAGTTCCCAGCAAGTGCTGCCAGGAGGAGCTGGTGCCCACAGCTGAGGGTGGGGAAGGTAGACAGCGCAGAGACACCGTTCTCTCCAATGGAGGCTGCAGAATCCAAAGCGGATTTAGATGTTCGCTTCTCCTGTCCGTTTGAAATAACTTCAGGCTATGTGTCTTCATCTTGGCTTGCATCGCTAGGTCCTCCAGTGGGCGAGAGGCCACATCAAGTACGGAGTTCTCCACATCCACGGCTTATACACTGACCCCTGCGGGATGGTGCTGGACCCGTCAGGATACAAGGACGTCACACAGGACCCCGAAGTCATGGTATGGCCCCTCTTCCTTAGGCCCTGCTTGCCTCCACTGGGGACTCAGTGGCCATCAGCCCTTCAGCGGCAGCCTGTGGGGTTTCCTGGTCCTTGTGGCCAGCTCGCTCATGGGGCGCGGACAGGGCCACGTTTCCTGTGCGGGCTGCGTGTCTGCCCTGGCCGGGTGCCCGCATGTGGACTGTGCTTGTGCGCACTTGTTCGGGGAAGGAACCGTGAGCCTGGGGCCTGGGGCTGTCGGCCCTCAGTGCTGCCCGACCGCCCTTCTCTGTGCGTGCAGGCAGCCCGCCGCCTGGAGTCCTCTCCTTAGGGAGCCTAGCGGGCTCTTCAGCTTTCAGAACTGGCTTCAAAGCTCCATTGTCCATGAGGCTTTCTTGCCGCCTCCCCGGAATGGAGCGTGTTGGAGTGGTGTGTCGGGCTCCTTCCAGCGCACTGGTTCTGCCCCTTCCCTTGGGCTGTGGGGCTCCTCGGCGCTCTTCCAGCAGCGGCGCGGGGACTGGCTGAGGCGCGGGGGTGGCAGGCTGGGTAGGAAGCCCTGTGTTGCGGGCCGAATCCGTGACTGTCCACCGCTCACTGGCGTGAACCCTCTGGTCTGTGCTTCTCTGTGCCACCCCTGGGGTCACTGTCACTGCTGCCCTCCTTCCCCAGACCCTGTCCACTCTTCCCTAGGAACAGGTTCCCCTCTGTGATCACTGAGGCAGGCGCTGGGTTCAGGTGTCACTGAGCACCACCCTGAGCTGTCTGCCACGTCCGCATCTGTACCGAAGTTGTCAGGGTCACACGTAACTCTGGAGGAGCAGGACTGGCTGGCCTTGCGTGGGGTGTGTCCAGACAGCTGCCGACTGGCACTGTGTGCACTCGCTGGGCGAAGGCTCCCCGAGAGCGGTTGGGTGCTTGGGGTGGGCCACAGTGCCTCGGGGAGAACCCAAGGCTTCCCCGCCCTCCTCAGGTGGCCCTTGCGGCTGGCGGGGAGCAGGCCGCGAGGCACACGAGCCTGTTAGTGGGAAGCGCGTGGGGGAGCGCCGGCCCCTCACCTGTGCTCCCCGCCCCCTTCCCGGCTCACAGGAAGTCCTGCAGAACCTGTACCGCACCAAGTCCTTCCTGTTCGTGGGCTGCGGAGAGACCCTGCGCGACCAGATCTTCCAGGCCCTCTTCCTGTACTCGGTGCCGAACAAGGTGGACTTGGAGCACTACATGGTGGTGCTCAAGGACAACGAGGACCACTTCTACAAGCACCAGGCCGACATGCTCCTGCACGGGATTAAAGTCGTGTCCTATGGCGACCGCTTTGACCTCTTCCCCGGATATGTGCAGGATCTCACCACTCAGATCTGCAAGCAGCGGAGCCCAGGTGTGCAGTTGTCTTCACTTTCCAAGTTCAGAGTCACAGTGTCCTGTCGTCGTCTTCTTTTGGACATATCCTCACCATACCCTAAGTTCCTCACTCTTGCTTTCTACAAGTGCCTCTGTGGAATTGAAATTTAGAATTTGGGTTACATGGTGTGCTAGGAATAGAATTCAGAGTTTAATTTTGTTTTGTTTTGCCTTTGAGACAGAGTCTCGCTGTGTACTTCAGGCTACTCTTGATCTTGTGTAGCCCAGGCAGGCCTTGAATTTGCAGACATCCTCCTGTCTCAGCCTCCTGACTGTGGGGATTGCAGATGTGTGCCATCACACCTGGCACAGAATTCTTTTTTTAAATTTTTTTTTTGTTGTGATACTAGGAATTGAATTCAGGACCTTGTGCTTGCCCGGAAGGTGCTTGTGCCCCTGAGCTATATCCCCAGGCTCCAGAATTTTAAAGTTTATAGCTCTGTACACAAAAGCAAGACACCTTTGTTGTTGTTTTGGTTACCTTTACAAAGAAAGGAAGCCCCCAGGCTGGTTGTATCAGTTGTGACTCTTCAAATGCAGATTTCTCATTACTTTACTTTAAAGGGTCTGTGTTTGTTCAGAGTTCAGTTTGTACAGTACCAGGTGATCTTCGGAAGACTTTGATCTGTCCGAGTTCCCTGGTCCAAGTTAACTCCCTGTCCTTTCCCCGGGACTGTTCTTCTGCCAGGAGCAACCAAAGACAAGTAGGGGCTTTGCAGACCCCGGTGTCTAGGCACCAGGGAGTGAATGGCTTTGAGTCTGGGGTCCTAACACGTGGATGCCAGCAGGCGTGGGAGGTGGGTCCCGCCTGGCCTTTCGGGGTGACAGGAGCTGGATGGAGGAGGAGAGCAGAGAGACCAGCTGGGAACAGGAAGGCGAGTGCTGCACTGGTTCTGCCCCTGGCACTTGCTTCTCGGGCGCTCGTGCTCACATGGGCTGCTCCCGCTGTGTGCTTCGGGGCAGCGGCGCGCTCCTCCTGGTGGGTGGAAGGGGGCCCTGCTCCCCGAGCCAGCGTGTCGCGCGCTGCTGGGATCCCGCATGCTTGCCCTTGCGGGTGACTCAGGGACGGAGAGGCGAGCTCAGAGAGGGGCAGAACGTGGCCCGTGAGCGCCCGGGCCCTGCACAGAGCAAACGCACCGTTCAGCGTGCCCGGGAGGCAGCTCTGTGGGGAGGTGGGGTATGCGCCTCACCTCTGCTGGCTGCTGGTGTCACACGGCGACCAGGACCCCCCTCCCTCGTGGAGACCCCCGTTCCAGGCCCCGGCACTGAGAGCGTTCCACAGGCCGCATGAGTCTCGATACGTGGTGCAGCCCCTCTCCTGGCAGGGAGTGCCCGCCGACGGTGACCGTGATGCCTGTGACGCTGGGTACGGCATGGTGCCCGTGCGCCACCGGCTCCAGGTGTTCTGCACGGTCGCTGAGTCCTCGGTCAGCCCTGTGAGGTGAACAAGAGGCAGTGACTGGCCCAGGGGCCTCTGCAGGCCCTGTGCTGATCCCAGCGCGCCTCCGCGGGGGGCGGGCGGAAGGAGAGCGGGAGCCCTGTCTCACACTGCTGCCCTGTCTGGGCTCTGCTCACTTTTCTCTTTCCTCCCAGACGCGGAGCGAGTGGACAGCACCACGTTCCTGGGTAAGGCGATCTTCATTTCTGTCAGCCTGATTTTGCCCCCACGCTGCCTCGTTTTCCTGCCCCTACCTGTAAAATCATGCAAGTGTTTGTCACGTTAAATAAGAAGCCTGCCCTGAACAGCCCGCTGGAGAGGCTGCACGGCAGGGCGGAGGCCGCCCCTGCCGCTTCCTAGGGAAGCACAGCGTGGGGACAGGGTGGTGCGCTGCACCTGACAGTAAATTCCGTCCTTGAAGGCGGAGTCTGAGACCTGGAGCGAGGCTCCGCTTGGCTTGGGCCATGCGACACAGGGCGCAGACACGTCGGGTGACCTAGCCCTCAGAAATCTGCTTCCCTGCAAACATTTTCTGGTTTGCTTGCTTGAAATGGGAATGCTCTTGGGAGCTCGGCTCTCGCCTAGTCTAAATGAGGACTCAGCAGCCCCAGTGTCCCTTGTGCATAACGAACAGCAGCGTCGCCACGTCCCTCGAGCGGGTGGCGAGGAGCTCTGCAGGCCTACCTGGCCTGTGGGCAGTGTCTGCACGCTCAGGTGCGTGTGGTTCAGCCCAGGAACTGAGCAGCAGCACGAGGCTTCCCTCCTCACCCTGCTCCATGGGAAAGCTGAGAATAAGTGTTTTTCCCTAAATAGGGCTGAGAATAAGTGTTTTTAAGCAGTAACTCAATGGCTGCAATCTAGTGTATGGCAGGGGTCATCTACTGGTGCTTCAGTGAGGTAGGACTTAGAAATGGGCCCTTGGGATGGATTCTTGAACAGAGCGGCTTTTAGTAAATTTTCCTCTTTCAGGAAATGCATGTCAGGACTGTGCAAAGAGGAAAATGGAAGAGAATGGAATGGAAACTCCCAAAAAACTCAGACAACCAGATACGGGTACTGTGTGCTGGTGTTTGTGTGGGAACTTGTCTCCTGCTTGTCTTGCTGGTCGGTGTCTTCAGTCACAAAGCTTTGCTTTAGTGACCCCAGTCCCTCGGTGGGGGGCAGAATGACCGCACTGGGTCAGAGTCCGTGCACAGGGAGGCTTGCAGCGGGACCTGACCGCTCATGCCAGCTGCCCAGAGGCCCCTGGGTCTTGTTGTTTTTTGTTTTTTGTTTTTTTTCTTCCGGTACCAGGAATCGAATGACGACCTTGCGCTTGCCGGGCAGGTGCTGTGCCACTGAGCTAAATCCCCAGCCCGTGCCCCTGGGTCTGTTACCGAAGGAGCACAGGCCGAGCAGTGAGGTTTGGGTCGGGTCAGGGATTTTCAGATGGAGATGCCCAAAGGTCACAGCCGCTTTGCAGTACTATCCACTTGTGTCCTTACTTGCTAAAGAAAGCCAAATGATTGAGACCTTTGTCACTGAGGTTTAGTTAACTATTTTCAGTTTCCTTGAACTGTCTGCTTTGGTAGTGTCACTGTGTTGAAACTAGGAAAGGTGACCCGGCTCCCTCCTGCAGTCCCCCTCCAGCTCCACTCCTTCCAGGGTCGTGCGTTGTTCTGCGCCCCTCAGCTCGCAGAGGTTGGATGAGCCTGCCGCCCTCAGACCCCAGCCCGTGCACTGTGTCCCTCACCTGGGTACAGGATACAGTCCTTTCTGTCTGTAGATTGACGGTGAATGTTGGAAAGTAAGCACTTGATTACAAAGAGTGCATGTTGGTTCCTGTTTGCCAGCCGTGTGTGGCACTAGGGCCTGGCCAGGCCACCTGCGCTAGCTGCAAAATGAGTACTCAAGGCCAAGGGCAGACGTGGCTTCTCCCTTATGTCCTGTGTTCTGGTCTTAACTCTCTCGTATGCAGCCTTAGATCATCTCTTCTTCCGCCTTCACTGTTCTCTCTTCCAGGAATTCATACTAGGGTCTCCTGAGTTATTTCCAGCATCTTTTATGTTTTGTCTCTCTAAATTTTCATGTCTCTCAATTTTTTCATAAACTTCTTAGGAGATTTTCATAATTATGTTTCAGAAAGTCCTTGGATTAAACTTTTGTTTTGACAGTGTGATCTTAAACATGAGAGGCCGTGTTTTCTGACTGAACATTTACCCCACTAGCATTTGTTGTTCTGAACTGTGGTGTCTTTTCAGATCTCTGGAGAGCCAGAGGCTCACCTGGTCACCTGACCCTATTCCTGAAAACACTGGCCAGGGATCTTCAGATAACGGTTGTTTGTGTTATACCAAGTTATGTAGGAGAACCTCAACAGGATGTCCTTCAATACCTATGCATCAAGACACCAAGCATCTGCAGAGCTTTGAACCATTTAACACTGTTGGTGGCTTATTTAAACATTCCAAGGCACTGCTCTCCCTGGCTGTGTTCTGGTTGGAGATTTCTAATGTGAAGTTCTTCAGAATCTGCAACTTTGTGAGCATCAGCTCAGAGCTCAAAGTTTGAGATTTTTAGAACATTTTGGATTTCAGCTTTTCAGATTAGGGAGGTTCAACTCCTTACAGTCTGCAGATTTTCAAAAAGTTAAAAACCTTACGCCTGAAACAGTTGTGTTTCCAAGCATTCTGGCTGAGGGCCACGCAGCCCGTACTGCATCGCCCTTTGTGCCAGAGGAGCAGCACAGTGAGGGGATCTGTCAGTACAGTCAGAGTGAACGAAACGACACAGTGAAATGAACAAGGCCACTTGTAAAAACAGCCCCTGCAGCAGTTGTTGCCCATCGGGGTTGGCGGCAGGAGACCGAGGGCGCAGTGTCCAGCCATGTAATTATGAATGAAGTGAGGGGCCGAGGACACTGTGCAGGCCCTGCGTGTCCCCATTTAGATCTGCTGTGACTTCAGTGCACACACATCTCTAGAGGGTGAATTCATTTTTGATTGTGTTTGGATAAAATTCTTGGAAGTCTTTTAGCAGATGTTTGGATTGTGAGTTCAGCTGGTAAGGACATTGGTAACTAAAATGGAGCGAAAGAGAAACTCATGCTGTGTCCTCCGGGCAGGTGGCTTTTTTCTGTGGTCTCTCCCTGTCACCTACTGTGTAGCGCAGGCCCGGGCTGATTCTCCATAGATGGCATAGACTTTCCCAGTTGCTTCGTGTGCAGGATGTTGTACCACTGTGGCCTGCTTCTGAGCACTGTGGCTTCAGGTGGTGGGGCCTCTTGCTTGGCAATGTTGCCAGAGAGCAGTGGCCAGGGGTGTCCTTCAAGGGTGCCAGCACCCACACTCCCAGGCAGTCGTGCTAGGGAAACCCCCAGGTCTCTGCTGTGAAGGAAGCCACGGCCTGCTCTGCCAGTCGTGCTGGCTACACCTCAGCCTGCAGGGCACAGAGCAGTAGGCAGCTCTCCTGCATAGCAGCCAGGTGTGCTGCACAGCCTTGGTGCTTCCCCACCCTCCGGCCACCAAGAAAACTGTGTCCATATTTGTAGGTTGAGATTGCCACAGATTTTGCCCGTGTTATCATTTTGTGGTCCTGATAGTATTTATGATGTGCAGACCCATTTCTGGATCCTAGCTATTTCCACTAGGGAGGGTTTTTAATATCTTTAGCACATAAGACATATTGTAAACTGGTTTCTGAGGTGGCAGTCCTCTTGAGAGTACAGTACTTCTTTAGCTGAACTCTAACTTTTGGTATTTCTTTTAACAGACGATGCTGGAGGGTCTTGATCTTTAAGACCAGTTAAACCCTGCAGTTTGAGAACCAGCCCTCTGTAACCAGTGCCATGCCTAAGCAGCGAGGAGCGTGCCGAGGCCTGCACCCGGATCTCAGCCCCAAGCCGTCACGTGCCCCCAGAGCCGCATGGATGTGTGGCCTTCAAGGCCGGGTATAGAGCTCTGTGTGCTTATCTGCTGGGAGGTGACACGGACACACTTCAGGAACACTGTAAGGACTGATGAACAGCTACCTCAGGGACCAACATGTGGGAAGGGATGTGCCTGGCGTCTAGTTCCATTTGACCTGCTCTCTGCATCAGGGTATTTCTGCTGATACGGGGGAGACAAGATCGTCCAAACAACAGTCGTTGCCAAAGAGAAAGAACTGCACACAGGCACCTATATTTGATGAATTTTTATGTGGAAACACCTGTTACTAAAGAAAGCATTTTAAACCTGTTTGTTACATTGGTAATAGTAAAGAGGCACTGAATCTACTAGTGAAAATGGTTTTTAGCAGAATGACACAGTCAGTAGGGCTCCGGAGTCACATCGTCCAGTAACCGTGCTCCGAAGGGAAGGCAGGCCTGGCACCGCTGAGCTGCCAGCGTCCAGAGCCGGGGCCTCTGAGGCAGCCGTCAGTGCTGAGCACTTGCACCGTAGGGCTGAGCCCGGGGAAGTTCCAAATGGAGTGTCAGTTCCGAGCTCTGTGAGTCTTCATTTTCTAGGCCAAGGTCCCAGCTTCTGTCCTCTCAACTTTTCCCCTGTGCCTCAAGCCAAAGGGATTTCCGCAGAGGGAGGTAGGTAAGCCCGGTAAAGGGCCTGCTGGCCCGAGGCATCTTCGGGGCTCACCACGGGCGGCAGCTGTGCTGGGTGCTGTGCGTGTGCGGGGAGGCCCCTGCCGGAGACCAGGCGGAGGCACAGTGAGGCCCTTCCTCTGAGCTCAGCCCTGCGCGCCTCCGTGGTTGTGCAGCACCTCCCTGGCACAGTCCCCACTGGCCCCGGGCAAGGGAAGAACAACAAACAGAGGTCAGCCGGGATAGGGCTGAGACGAGAAGACACACACCGGAGACATTTCTTCCCCTTTTGAAGCATGGAAACAAATCTGTGTCACACTGGTCATGAATAAAATTTTATTGGCAACCCTGTTGGCTCAACTTTTCCTTAGTCACGACAAGGCTTGGTGTACTGCAGTTAATGAGAACTTTAGCTGGAGTTGCCACTCAGTTGTGAAACAGTCCGTGATTACTTTTTAATGTATTTAAATTGTTTTTAAAGGTAAACCATTATTTTTCAACTCACATTTACAAAGTGCAGTCAGGGATAGAGATTGGAATCAGAAATTTCACGTACATAGGAGCGTACACTCGCAGGCGCAGCAGCACTGGGCTGCTTCGAGGAGTGGACAGAGCGTGTGTGAGTTCTGGTGTCTGTGCCGGTTTATTCTAACACAGCTGATGTTTTAGAACCTGCCCAGGCTGGGGCTCAGCAAGGGTTTTGTAAGTGAGTGCCACGCATTTATGTGTACTTCAATCAGGGACCAGTGCTGGTGGCTCGGGTGACAGCATTCGACTTTATCTACTGCCAGGAGCTGGAGTAGTTGGCATATTGTACCAAAGCTTCTTGAAGCCTCATCAGAACCAGAATGTTTACCACAGCTCTCTGAGAAGTGGGCCGACCTGTGCTTTAGGTGCACGGTAAATTGCACACCTCCCAGCTCCCGCCCCAGCGAGCCCTCCTCCTGCCCTCAGACAGACGCCAGGGCCGTCTAGATAAAGTGCTGTAGTCATAGTTGTACTTGTGTATTTCTTAACCATGTGATATATCTAGAACTGGTTATTTTTAATCAGGTTTTGTTTTTTGCCATACTAGTGGTTGAACCCAGGGCCTTCACACTGAGTTATAACCCCAGCCTCCCTCTTTTTTTGAAACAGGGTCTCCCTAAGTTGTTTAGGCTGGGCTTGAATTTGTAATCTTCCTGCTTCAGCCTCCCCAAGTGCTGGAGTCACAGGCCACGCCACTTCACTGAGTATGGTACCCGGGCCTGTACTTGCATATCCAGGTGGCTCTTCCTGTGTGCTTCTGCGCTGCACAGTGAAGCACGTCTGGAGTACTCAGAAGGATCGCTGATGGCAGGCACAGTGGATGCCTGAGCTGGAGGGGAGTAGCTAACCGTGCCCACGCAGCTCCAACAGGGACGGCTTGGCTCAGCGCCAAAGGCCCTGCTTTCGCAGCAGCCTGGTGGACTCGGCCTGCTTCCGGGCACAGTGTGACCCCGGCGAGGTCAGGCGTGGGCACCGCAGGAGGCTGCTGGTCAGCACTGGGCCAAAGCATGCTCGCAGAGGAGCCCCCCGCGCTGGTCTGACGGGACCTTCATCCCACACGTGACGTCAGTGGACATTTGGGAAAGCCTGTGCTCTTCAATACTTCCTTATCAGAAACCACACGCAGAAACGTTGAGGCCACACTGAGACACGTAATTCCTTTTCACTACAGATTTTCTTTTGGCTTCTGAAACTACACCGGAGATGTGAAATTGTTGTGTTGATATTTTCTTAAGTAACATACAGGCCCTCTGAAGTGATTTTCCACAAAAGCTGGGCTCAACGACTTACTCAAACCTATTCACTGGCCCATCTGACAGCCCTTGTTCCAGGCAGGGTGTGCTCAGCACACGCAGACCCTGGGTTTGACCCCAGGCTGGAGGAACAGCCCATCTCCCTCACGCGCGCCCTGAAGGTGCAAGGCCAGACCGCACTGAAGAGGAGGCACACCTGAGCATTTTAATGACAAGCTTATTTCAAAAGAGAAGACCGTGCTACACAGTGCCCCTTAAGACAAACCAACGCTGACTGTCCTAGGAAACAAAGCCCCAGAGTGGCCCGACCGGCTGACCCGGCAGTGGCCGCAAGGCCTGCTGGCTCCAGAGGTCTGCAACTTGGAACTGGAGGAGGACAGGTGACGGCTGCCGTGCCTGGGGCTGCTCACAGCACCGGTCCTATCGGGACTGGGACCCTCGGTGTCCTCTGCCGCCCTGTCTGCCTTCGGTGTCCGGGTAGGGACGCAGGTCTAGGGTCAGCACTCGGCTGCACATGCCTCTGTCATGCTGGAGGGGAGACAGGAGTCGCGGTCAGTCTGCTGAGGGAGCAGCAGCAAAGTAAAGCCACAACGCGCCTGGCCTTGCATTCAGAAGAATCCTGCTTATGCTTGAAAGGGCATCAGTTACCTGTTTTCACCCTTTTTAAAATTTTAATTTCCTGGTATGAGAATGTTTCCTTTTTGGGTAGTTGCAGTAGTAGTTGCAGTACTGGGGATTGAACCCAAGGCCTTGGCACTGACCTACCTCTGCAGTACTTTTTATTTTGGGATGGTCCTGCTAAATTGCTCAGGTTGGGCTTGAATTTGCAATCTTCCTGCCTTAGCTTCCCAGAGTACTACGATTCTAGGCATGCTAAGCCTGGCTGGAATTTCCATTTCTTAGCGTATTTCCAGGTGGTCTCCTACTTTCTATGGGTACAGGAAGGTAAATTAACTCTTAGCTTAAAGGAAAGCCCAGGAAATACAATCTAACTATGAAAAGGCCAAATGTCTTAAAATAGTTGCTCTACTGTTAGCTCAGGTAGTACTGAATGGCTTGAGGTGTATTCCAAGTCTATGTTCCTGTACCACTGGGAGCTTCCGGTGGATTTCTCTGGTTTTCCTTGGGGACAGTAATACATTGCATTTATTTTTGCTTAAAATATTCAGACATTACAGAAATATGAAACAGTATTAACTGCTGTGTGTATGTTAATGTGCACTATTTTATAAAATTTTGCTCTGTAGTTTTTAATTTGCTTCTTTTACTGGAGATGTCTTAATTATCTGTGTACTATTACAGAAAAATACCTGAATAGCTACTGTCACTCAAAAAATGAGTGAGCCTGAGTTGACCTTCTGCACCCAGCCAATAGCATCTGCAGACTCCACCTGGAGCCGCTGCCCCAATGGGAAGGAAGGGAAGCTCTGCGGCTGGGCTGGCCGCTGTGTGTGAGGATCCACAGGGCCCTGCGCTCCCTCTGCCTCGGGAGTGCTCTTTACCTCTGGGTAGACGCCAATCAGGGCATCGGCTCTGGAATAGAGCTCTTCTTTCAGGGAGATGATTATCATCTGTAACTGTTCTTGAGTCTGCTCTCTGATGTAACTGGAGACCTGGAAGGGAACAAAAAGTACACATCTCACCAGCGGCAAGGACTGGCTGGGCTCGGGCAGTGGTTCTGCACAGCTGGCGGGCTCTGCCCGTTTCAGGTGACGAGACGCTCACTCGCCTTTCTGGAAGTCAGCAAAGCCGCCCCAACTGCAGCATTGCAGAGTTTCTCCAGTAAGAAAAATCCATGGATCCTGTGATCTGAGCTTGAACAGTTCTGTTTGTGGTGCCAGGGGTTGAACCCAGGGCCTTGCTCTATCACCACGCTCCATCCTAGTCTAGGAGTGTGTTAAAGAATACAGCTGTAACTAGAGATACTATTGCGGGAAAAGCCATCAACCACTGAAATGAGCGAGAGCGCTCAGGTGTGCTGTGGGGGGAAGGGCCGGCATCTAAGTTCCAGGAAAATGCTCTTGGCTACGAGGCTAAATTCACAGAGCTCTGGCATCAGAGGCCATGGTGGCAGCTGCTCTGATGCAGGACTGAGTCTTGGGGTAGTGATAGGAAAAGGAAGGAGACAGGATATTTGCACGGTTTGGATATGAAATCCCCCAACGCCCATCTGCGGAAGGCTCCGTCCCCAGCCTGCGGCACTACTGGGCAGTGAGGGGGCGTTTAAGAGGTGGCACATCTCTGGGAGCCAGGTCACTGGGGCAAATTTCTGAAAGGGCTGTCGAGGCCCTGGCCCCTTCCTCTCTGTTGAACAGTTCACCACAGGCCCCAGAGCACTGGGCCAACTCAGCGTGGACAGAAAGCTCCCAAACTGGGAGCCAGAATAAGCCTTTCCCACTTTTCCTAACAGCCAGCAGCTGCAAAGATGGACAGCGTGCCTTCTTCTCGGAGCGGCCTGCTGTAAACGCTGGACACCCCGAGCCCGTGAGAATGGAGGCTCCTTCGTGGTTACACACTCCACACGGTGCACACTCAACATGGTGGTGATCTCCAAGGCACTGTGGGAATTCGAAGGCTCTGCTACACAGGCTACACACTAGAATGTAGACAGTGAGTGCAACCAAGCACACAGGAGGTCCACTCAGACGGAGCCGCCTCGGTACAGCAGGGCAGATAGCTCCTGAGGAGTCAGGCCCTGGCATCCAGTCAGCTGATGAGGGCAGCTGGCTAACGAGACCCAAGTCAAGGCTCTGTTCCTGTTTTCTTCTGCTTCCTCTGGCCACCGTGAAGTCTTCAGCAGACTGTGGCTGGCAGCTGAGATGTTCTTGTGTATCCTGTGGCATGTTAAGAGCAGAAGCCCCAAGAGACACTAGGAAGTGCTGAGAGACACTTTCGTGCTCCTAGGAGCCACCTCGGCTGCAGCTCCACAGCATCCCTGACTTGCCCGGCACTGCAAGAGCTGGGAATCAGGGAGGCCCACTTCACAGGCTCAGGACTGCCTGGCAGCACCCCATGTCTGAAAACCTCCCTCAGGGTGGGCTTGTTAGCCTGCTCACAGGACTAGGTTCTAAGCCAGAACATCATTTACACACAAATACTGAGAAGTGGATCTGTCAGTGTGAACAGAGCAGCCTCCTATAAAGCAGCCATGAATGCAAAGCATAGCACCTCTGAAGAGGGGCTTGGACTCAGAGTCCAAGATGAGAGTCTAACTCATCTGTCTGCAGCAATGGGGGGATCTGCAGGCTGCTGCTGTCTCTCTTCTGGGTGGGGACAAGCACTGCTAGTGTCTGCTCCATCCTGTTCATGTCCTACGGCTGACCCATGTCACTGAAGGGGGAAATTAAATTTAAATAAAGCCTGCCTAGGATGCCCGCCAAGACCAAGCAGATATGTCTGGCAGGCCTGGTAACAGAACACTCCTTCCTTTGTGTAAACTCCTGTCTTTACTTCCTTTGTATTACTGATGGCCTTGCAATGTAACTTAAAATGTAACAGGACATTTCTTCCTCTGTAGAACCCATACTTTGTATAACTGATGGCCGTGTGATATAGCCTGAAATGTTTAAACTCCCTTGACAATCCAAGATGTCACCCAACCCTCCAGTCACAATGTGTCAAATCTGCCTTTGTACCTTCCCCCTTGCTCTCCTTGTAGAAGACCCAAGGGGCTGGGGATATAGCTCAGCAGGCACAGTGCCTGTCTAGCAAATGGGAGGTAATGAGTTTGATTCCTAGTACCAAAAAAACCCACCAAAAGACCAAAGACCCTGCTGGGCAGGGCTGACTCTTTGGATGAGATCCCAGTCAAGCCTTTGGTATAATAAACTGCCTCCTGAACCTTCTTACTGCCATGTCCGAGGTGTGGGCTGCGAGTGCCCCTGAAGCCCCATGGATGAGTCCCCCCACCTTAGAGCTGAAGCAAGTTAACTCTCAGAGTGAAACTGCTTCCTTAGTTCTCTCCTCTCAAATAATGCAAACAGAATTGGCACAGCAAAGATTGGGTACATTTTGATGACACTGGGGAGGTCCATTTTTGGTTTATCTCCTTTGTTATTTTATTTACACGTTATTCTTGCACTCGAGCAAACAACTCCCTTGGTATCTGAAACCACACGGATCTGCCTGCCCTGGGGCTGCTGCCCGCTGGTGCTTGTTCCCAGTGCCTGGCCCAGGGAGCAGGGAGCTGTGTGGGGAGTGGTGCTGCTCATCAGGGAAGTGTCCCTCAAACCTTAAACCGGAAGCACCTTGTTTTTTGATATTTAACTCAGAAGTTAAAAGTACTCTGTGGGAGGCCTTGGGTCTAATCCGCAGTACCAAAATTAACAACAAAAACAAAAGCTGACCTTAATCAGCCATTCCTGCTGGGCCCTCACCCTGTGTGTTGAGGTATGCTGCTTTCTGACCACACCATGAACCTGGAATTGGAGACATCAGATTGAAAAAGCAGAAAGCAACTTACTTTGCCAATGTTAGTATTGTCCAGGGCTGCATCCACTTCATCTAGAACAAAGAATGGAGCAGGCCGGAAACTAGAAAAAAATGATATCCTAGTAAGTTACAGCTTCCTGTTTGTTATGCAAGACTTAGAGGAAAAGATGAGCCGTATTCAGGATGAGCAGGACTCATCCTTGTGCGAACCTGTCTAGGACACTGGTGACCTCTGCATCGCTGAGTCCCTGCTCACCAGGCCTTGGCCTGTGTGGTCCATACCATGATGGGTTTATCATGTCTGCCCAAGACCTGCTGTGACCTGTTGGTGCTTCCTGCCCTCCATGGCCTGCCGTTGTCTGCGGCCTCTCTCATCCTGAGCTCCCTACCATCGCAGTGCTGCTGGGCTGGTCCTCAGAGCACTGCGTCTGACTCGAGGCCATGTCTCACACATTCCCCGCTTAATAATTCCTGACCTGCACCTAATGAGCGCCTCAGCCCCCTCACGGCCCCTCCAAACCTGTCCCCTCCTGGGTCTCAGTTACTGACATCTCTCAACTTGTTGAGGCTGAACCCAGAATCCTCCCAACTCTTCATATTCCACATACTGTTAGCAAGCTCCAGCTCTGCCTCCCCTGGCCCACTGCCGTGCTTCTCCCTGCGGTTTCAGTAACTTCTGGTCCTGTGCCTGAGCCTGCCCACGTGTACTCGCTCCGCACGCCCACTCGCTCTGGGCTCAGGGCCTGTGCACTTGCTGCTCCTCACATCTGCAACGTTCTTCCCTTGGCTGTCCGTGTGCCCTGCTCCTGTAATTACTCCAAGTCTTCAAGTCGAATGGAAGCTTCTCAAACAGGCCTCCGCAGAGACTCCGTGACACTGCAAACCCTGCCCGCACCCACCGTCTCCAGTCCCTGCCTGAGTTCTTTCCCTGTAAGACTTGTCATTTTTGAACATTCTTTCACAGAGTGAGTCTGCTAATGTCCCTTACTTATTGTCTTTCTCAACTACAATGAAACGACTGAGGCGGGCACTCTCTTTTGTCCACAGCGCTCTCCCTGGTGCCGACACCAGCCCCAGCACGGTTTTTAGTATCAGCTGAGTGAATGGGTGGGTGCCACCTCGTGCCAGTCTTTCTTACCTGAGTCCTCCCCTCTTGGCTTTTCCTCTCCTGGGGGAGAAGGGTCCCCTTTCCTTCCTGAGACCAATAAAAGCCAGCTGCCAGGCTCCGTGTGCTCAGTTCCTGGGCAGGGAGGTGGCAGCACCTACACCATGGACCCTCACCTGTGGCTTTCATTGTGGAAGCTGCCTGCTGAGGTAATTTTAGCTATCTTGTTCTTGATTTATATCTCAAAGAAACAGTGCCAAAGAGATGGGGTTAAAGGCTTTTTTAGGTAAAATACTTCAATTTTAACATCCTTTATTAATAGATCTCTGAGCAGAGACTAAGAAAAGAAGATGCAAGTTGGGTTTTCTTGTTTGTTGCTTTTGGTAATCTCGATGTTACATTTGGTCATCAAAATCTTTTTTCTATAAGACTGGAAATTCAGTCTGTCAAAGGCTGAGCACAGAGATGCGTGGTGTGAATTAGGGTAGTCCTAAAACCTGAATTCTGTGGCTGAAGCAAGCAGTCTTGCATACACTTGCTAAGAATTAAGAAACACAAACAGTCCCAGCTCTTGTGTAGACAGCCTGCTAGGTTTCAGCGGGACAGGGAGGCTCACCTGTGTACGGCGAACAGAAGGGCCAGGGCTGCCACGCACTTCTCTCCCCCGGACAGGTTGTCCATGGGCATGAACCGCTTGCCCGGGGCCACACAGTTATAGCTGATTCCCTCCAAGTAAGGCTCTTCAGGGTTCTCTGGGCTAAGAAATGCCTGAAACACATGTTATTTATTTAGCAGTACCAGAAAATACTAGTACATTTCAACCCATGGTGCCAATATTAAATGTAAAATGTTCTACTGGTTGGGTCCTCAATTTAGATGTAGAAGTACCAATGCCTGTAAATAATGTACTTACTTGTGCATTTAATCGCAGACCACAGGGCTGTCTGGTAGGGGGAGGAAGTACTGGAACCCACTGGTGGGTGCTGGAACACACCCAGGGACCAGGACTGCTGGTCCCACCGTGGCAGCACCCGCCACAGCCTCTGACCGTGAGTCTCCCTCAACTTGCCCTCGTCTGCAACTCACCCAATACTTCCTACAGTCCGGGGGCTGTGCAAACAGGAGTCCTGTTCTCCAGAAGTCAGTGGGTTACTTTATCTTACTTTACTGAAAATATGTCATTCGCAGTCATGCTAGAAATCGCATGAAGGGTCACCCTCGCCACAGCCAGTCCAGGCGTGTTTGCCCTGGCACTCACAGTGGAGTGCGGGGGCCCTAAGGCTGTCTGCACTTGCTCTGTGTCTTTAACTCTCCCCTTCTCCTCTGATACTCTGGTCAACTCCACAGATCAGCTGTTTCTCAGGATCCCCACACGGACCCTCCCCAAAGCCCAGTTGGTGCCAGACAGCAGCAGTTCAGCACTGAAGGAACGGGAAACCCAGTGCTCTAACCACTCACTTCCAGTGGAGAGACAGGCCGGAGAGTGCTGACCTGTGCAAGCTGTCAGCGTGGCCTTGAGTGGGACGCCGAACAGCGGTCATCAGGCGAGCAGTCTGCATTGAAGGACTCACTCCCATAGTGGGCAGCGATTAGTTAATCACCCTCAACAGGGCTGTCTGGATGCGGGGAGGAAAACCACCAGCAATAGTTGCGAATTCCCATCAGGAGTCAGGGGTGACAGATACATACTTGGGCACTGCTGTTTCGGCAGAGCTTCTTGTAGATGTGATCAATTGAGACTGAGACGTGCTCAAAACACTGGCTGAAAAGATCGTATCTCCTTTTTTTCACCTGTTCAAACTCTTGCCTGCACATCCTGGCTTCCTTTCTGCTGGCCTCAAAAGCTAAGAGAGAATCAATGTTCTTTTAATTTGGAGATCACTGAGTGATTTCTCTTATTTAAAGTAAAAATACTGCATTGTGAACTTGGCTGTCAAGTGAAATTACCTTTAGGATATCTCAACGATATTAATTCTAAAGGTACAGCTCTTAAAATCAACAGGCCCTTTTCCTGGCAGGCTAATTTCTAAATTTTGTTTTGTTTTTGGGCAGGGTCTCCCTATGTAGTTCAGGCTGGCCTTCAACTCACTATGTAGCCCAGGCTGGCCTTGAACTCAGTCGTCCTTTTGCCTCAGCCTCCCGAGTGCTGGGATTGTAAGTGTGCATCACCATGCCTGGCATAATTTCTAAACAATACTGACAAGTTTTGACAGAGTAATATTTTTTTCCGGCATGAAAAAGTAAGTATTATCTAAAATACCCAATAAACTTGTTTTCAAATTAAAGCAGAACACTTCATAAAGGAAGTAGTTAGTGATTCAGTATTAACAGCATATGTAACTATAAGGCAACAGAGGAAAGTGTGTTCTAAACAGAAAGGTATAGTCCTGGAAGGATTGTGTGCCTGTGCCAGAAATGAGAACCCCAGGTACCCGATCCTGCCAGTGACTGAGCCTTACCGTCTGTGGACTCCTGGAACTTGTCCCTGACCGTCTTCAAGTTCTCGAGGGCTCGCAGGTTTGGGGCTGCTGTCTTTAGCAAGTTGTCTTCCTGGGATGCCACCTGCTCCACCAGGAGTGCAAGGTGGGCCTCCACCTCCTTATCTGACTGCAGAGCCTGTGAGGGCAAAGACAACACTCTCTGATGTGCCTACTGCTTCACACACTCAGTGAGGCCTGAGGCCAGGCCGGCATATCAGACCTCCTGCCACTCCCTCGACATCCTCTCAGAAGCCTGGAGCTGCAGTCACCACAGGATCTGTGGCGCCCAGCAGCTGCACCCTTGCACCTCTAGTGCTGTATGCGATGCCCCTGGAGCACATTTCCCTCCTTAGTCTGTAATCTGGCTGAAGAGCTACAATTTCTGTATCACCTTAATGTCCTCACTCACTATAAACTACCGATCATCTACTACGAGCTAGACACTGAGGATTCAATAATGAACACTGTTCAGTCTCTGTCTTTACAGAGCTTACAAGGAAGTCAGAAATGAAACCCCTCCTAACAGGGCCCTTACAGGAGAGCCAGGGCAGAGAGCAGGATCTGAGGCAGGGAGGGGCGCAGTACTTCCTGCTGAGCAAGTACTTCCCCTGACCTGAGTACTTCCCAACTGAGTACTTCCCCTGAGCTGAGTGAGAGCCAGAACTCAGTCAAATAAGGAGAGAGGGGACAAAGGGAGCCAGGCCCTTCGAGGAAATCTTTCTTGACTCCAGAAGGCGTTAATGAATACATAATAGAAGTGACATTTTCATTCACTGAGAAGATTACTTGAAAATAGATGAACTCATACTACATATTCAAGTAAATTTCAGATCTGTGAAAGAGGTGAATGAATATAAGAAAGTCATAAACGGCAAGACAGTATTTAAACATTTACTGGGTAATGAGATGGAAAATATTTGTTAAATACAGAAGCAAAAAGCACTAAACAGAAATCCAGAGAAGAGAAAAGCTATTTTCTGACTGCCAAAAGATGTCATAAATAGAGTGCAAGCTTTCAAGTCTACTAACCACATGAGTTCTAAGATATAGTGGTCACTGCTTCTTGGTGCCCACCTGTTTCTCCCGCTTCTGCAAGCCATGTGGGGCTGCAGGGTGCACGGAGGCGTACACCTTCCAAGTTTGTGTGAGGTCTGAGTCCCCCTGCCCTCCATGATGGCTCCAGAAAAAACTACTACCCCGCAAAGCCACTGTGATGCAGGTCGGCTGGCAGGACTCTGTAGGAAAACCTTCCTTCAACCTTAGAATAGCCCTCCTGAAAGATGGACCTCTCTGCTGGAGGAGGTAGCTATGGGCTGGACAGCCCGGATGGCTCTAGTCACTGTGCCCATTGAGACGCAGTCTGATGACAGAGCCCAAGAGGCGAGTGGCTTCAGGGCTGGCTGGGCCGAGTCTGAGCTGCCGCATGAAGAGAGAAGCAGCGCTGCCTTCCAAGCTGTATCCTGCTGCCTCCCTCTGCCGGGAGAAGCCTGAGCCTGAAGTAGACACAGCGCTGGGACAATGACAGGGTGAACTCAGGTGCTGGAGTAAGGGCCACTTTGTTTTTTTTTTTTGAGACAAGCTCTTGCTATGTAGTTCAGGCAGGCCTTGAACTCACTATGTAGCCCCAACTGACCTCAAACTCATGGCAATCCTCCTGCCTCGGCCTCCTGAGTGCTGGGGTTACAGGTGTGCACCACCACCCTGGCAGGTCATTTCTATTTATGCAGGAGTTTGCAAAGACTTCAGTATTCATTGTGACCTCACAAAACATGGAGTTAGCCTCAGAAACTGGAGGTTCCACAGTAGTATGTCCTGCACAGCACAGTGATTAAATACACTGATAGAAGTCTTTTTGAGACAAGGCCTCACTAGGTAATTCAGGCTGTCCTTGAACTCACTAAGTAGCCCAGACTGGCCATCATGCCCAGCTGATATAAGCATTTTTTAAAGTAACCTATTTATTGCTGTTTTGTGATAGAAGAAATGTGTACTTGGCCTTCACCCTAGGTCTTGGCCCAAAGACCCTAAAACCTGAATGATGGGCTAAAGGGAGCCCCTTGCACCCCACCTGAGTTTATGTTAGTGGCTAGCACTGAAAAGGGGAGGAAGAGGCACGGAACCTTTAGCCCCCGCCGCTCCCTGGGAAAGGAAGTGGGGCTGGAGGCGGATGCTAGGGAGGGTATCAGGTGCTTGGTGTGTGGCGGCCCTGAGAGGTGGCACTCTGCATTTCTCCCGCCCGGCTCTTCCTGAGTCATGGCCTTTATATGAAGTTGGTGTTCACCTGTAATCCCAGCACTTGGAAGGCTGAGGTAGGAGGATCGTTGCAAGTTCGAGGCCAGCCTGGGCTACAAAGTGAGCTCAAGGCCAGCCTGAACTGCAAGCAAGACCCTGCCTCAAAAAAAAAACAAAAACAAAAAAAGAAGCTGGTGAACGTATAGCACCCCCTGAAGCCTTGTGGCCACTCTATCACTCTGTCATGCCTAAGGAGGGGATTGTGGATAGGGAGGCAGGATGTGTGGCTGAGCCCTCAACTCTTGCACTGCAATAGCCTCAGGTGCTGCGGAGCTGCACCACTGCGGGAGACTGGCCCACCTAGAGTGGAAACCAAGAAACTGCTTCCTCTGTACATTATGATCTGGGAAGCAACCACCTGGCCGCAGACCCACATATCTGGTGTAAGTTCTGGCAATACAGAAAAGTGGTTTTCCACTTCTGTATAAATCTTAAAAACAACACTCTACCATCTAAAAATGATTCTGCAGTGTTTGAATATTTCACATTGCTATGAGTTAGTAAAAACCAACAGAAATTTTTGTTACCTTCAAATCCTCCCGTAGAGGGCTGTAGTCCACTTCCACAGCTGCTTCTTTTTCATAGATACTGGCTGTTGCCTGTGTACTTTCTGCTTCAGTTCCCAGCTAGAAAACATGTAAAACTCTCTCCTTACTGTCTCTGATGGTAACCCGTACTCACCTGTGCCCCCAGCCCTTCAGGTGCCTGTCACCTCCTTCCGATGACAAGCCAGGGAGGCTGCAGGGACCTGGGCTCAGCCGCTCTCATGCAGCTCTGTCAGTATCCTCTGGTTAGTCATTCTGCTGCAACTGTGCAGTCTCCGTGACCACAGCAGGCGCCACTCGGGGTGGGCACAGCCCCCAAGGTGTCTGTGTGACTTCATCTGTCACCTCCTCAGTCACTGGCCACCCCTCCACCAACACGCTGCTCCTGTCCTACTTTACTGTTTTATTAGTGTGGATCAACACCTAATGTAAGTATTTCGCCTACCTATGCTTGCTTGTCTCTACTCCATTAGAATGCAAAGGACTTGGGCCAGGGATATAGCTCAGTGGCACAGTGCCTGCCTGGCAAGTGCAAGGTCCTGAGTTCGATTTCTGCTACCAAAAAAAAAAAAAAAAAAAAAAAAAGAATGTAAAGGACTCGATTTTTGGCTGTTATAGTCCCAGGGCCTAATGCAATGACTTATATTTCAATTTCTATGTGAAATAGCTGGTCTTTGGTGTCATGCTGATCAAAACCAAGACCCACGTATTAAGAAAAAACACGCTTGGCTGGGTGTGGTGGTACATGCCTGTAATCCCAGCACTTGGGAGGCTGAGGCAGGAGGATCGCCAAGAGTTCCAGGCCAGGCTAAACTATAGAGTTCAGAACCAGCCTATAAAGACCATATCTCAAAAAAAAAAAAAGAAAGAAAAGAAGACAAATTCTGTCATTTACCCTTCACAGATGTTCTCAGGTGAACAAACTCAATGATACTACTTTAGGAATGAAGTTTGAACATAATATATGTGTCACAACAGATCAGAGAGAAAGTGGACTTGAACAGAGTGTGATCTCACAACTCCTGCACGTGATTTGATGGCACTGCGTTCAGCATGTGTAACATCCACTGCTCAAGACTCCATGTGTGGCCATGTACCGGCGACCACAGGGACGCAGTCTCTCAGGCAGCAGGATCTCCAGCTACTTCCTCTGCACGCTATGACCTGGGAAGCAACCATCTGGCCGTCTCCACCCAAAGACTCTAAGAATTTCCAGAGAGCCCTGGCAGGCAGAGACTATCTTCTGCCACAAGGGGAGTCCCAGGCTCCACATCACCAGGGTGGACAATTACGGAAATCGTTCCTCAGTTGTGTATAATCTGCTGATAAGCACATGAAAAGCACTCTTCCTTTCTGTTTTGGTGTTTTTGACTTGTAGCATTTCTTTTTGATTCTTAAGACTTTCCATCCTGCTTAAACCACCTGTTTTTTCTTGCATGTTGTCTACCCGTTAGAGTCCTTAGGTTATTAATCATGTTTTTTTAAAAATATCTGTCCTCCTAATTGCAAGGTCCCTATCACCTATAATTCTGGGCCTGATGCTGGCTGTTTTTGCCTTTTGGCTTAATGTCTTTCCTGATAGCCACACATAAAGTGCTGAGTGAAAGGAGAGGCCATAAATCACCGCAGTGATGTGGCAAGGTGTGGGAGAGAGGCCCACCTGCAGTTTTTACCTTGGGTCTCTGTCTTAGCAAGCATCTGCCCCTGGACTGTGAACTTGGTGTGTGCTTCCCACTTAGTTTTTAGTTTGTTTGTTTTGGTACTGGGAATCGAACCCACGACCTCACACTTGCGAGGCAGGCACTGTGCCACTGAGCTCTATCCCGAGCCCTTGGTTTTTTAGTTTCTACTCTAGGTGGGGGGCATGAACGGCTATAGCTGACTGGAGTTGGGTACTTCCCTCCCCTAAGTCATTCAAGCTCTGATAAACCCCAGAAGAGGGGCTCTTGTGAAGCAGTTTCTCCTGAGGAGCTGTGCTGGTTAAGGGAGAACCTGATAGAGCTTTAGGAGATGACACTCACCAAAGTGTGGGAGTCCATGCTTGCTGCCTCCCCTCTCCCCCCCGCAATCAGTAAATCACAGGTTAGATCTTCTTGGGGCTGTGTTGGGGCTCTGTAAGCTCTGATTCTCCGTGTTTGCCTCTCCAATCTTGGAGCAGCTGTTTGTTCTGTGACCACCCTTCCCTTACAGATTGAGAAGTTACCGACGTTTCAGTCTGTTGAACATTTTACTTGTTAAGAGTAAAGCTTCTCCGATGCTAGACTGGAAACTAAATGTCTTCCTTCTTAGATAATGATTCAGTATGATTTCAGCTCAAGGTTTTAATATCTGCTTTGACATACCCTGCACTGTGAATGTCTTTCACACGTATAAAGAAGCAAATGTGTTCATACTCATGGTGGGCATGTCCAGAGTAATTCTACAGATTCACCAGGTAAAAGGATGACGGCACAAAGCAGCAACATTGCTACTGACAACGTTTACTTGGCTATCACTCCAGAAGGCTGCTTCCTCCTCTATTCACTCTGTGACAAAACACTTCTAAAATTAAGTTCCCTTTCCAATGGAGTATCCACTTCCTCTGTATAGAGCAAACAGAATGCTGTCCTCCTGCTCGCACTAGTTCAGCTATGACAGACCCACTTTCACTCCCTCCACACTCATAAGAGTGGGCACAGGAGTCAGGAAGAGCCAGTCAGAGCTCTTCCCCAGAGTTTTCCTGAGGGCAAGGGTGAGCTCTTTCCCCCAGAATCAAAGCCAGTTACAGCTTTGTGGGCAACGCTGATCGGAGAGAACAAGGCAATACATAGTGGCCAGGCATCTGCCAGCCTTAAAGTTCCTGGCAGAAGCTGCACCATCAACGATGCCATCAGTTTCCAGCCCTATCCCTTTACACTCCTCCTCCCGTTTTTTTCTTTTCACTTTTTTTTCTTTTCTTTTCACTTTAAAGCCTTTGGAGTTGGGCTTATGTCACTTGTGGGCAGGAAAGGGTTTACTCTTTTCTTTACCTCATCCAGAATGTCATCTGTGCTAAAACACAGAAAAGACAGCAAATTACACTAGAATTACACTATAAAATCTCCTTCATATTAGAAAGAAGTATAGTGTTCTACATACTTCATTCTGAAGAATCCAGAGGACTTAAAGCTGCCTTTAAGGAACAGAAGACTGGATGGAAATAAGCAGATTTCTGATGGTATTGGGGCAGATCAGAAAGGACAACTTTAATCTCTGGCTTCTCCTGGGCATCTACTCTATGGCACAAGACATCAGTCCATCCTGGTTAACCAGAGATCAGAAAGCTGCTTAAAATCCTTAATTCAAAGTGGGATGACAATCATTTTTCCCCTTTTCCCTCCAAGGAGGAAAAGATGTCTTCTCTTCTCCAGGGCCACGGAACCTGAGGAAGAGTAAGCAGTCAAAGGACATTGTGTTCAGCTCCTTCAGCCACAAAATTACCTCCACTTCAATGATGTCATCTAGTGACCCCAACAGAAGAGTTATTTCAATGTTTTGAACTTTGCAATCCAGCAACATGTTATGCTTCTCTAAGCGTTTCTGTTCCAGAGAAGTCTGGATTACCACAACTTCCTTTTGCAATTTTCCTACTTCCCTGTAAATACACAGACAAGAAAAAGTGATTTTATTCACTGTAAAGCTTCACCAAGCAAGGAAAATGTTACATTATAAACTTCCGTGCAATAGACCACTTTCTGTAAGAACGCTGGAAGTGCTGGGGTTTGTAACTTGCACACTGATGCTCCCGGGAAGGCTGTGGGTGTGACTCAGCTGTCCAAGGGAGCACATCTCAGTGACAGGCAGCCCTGCTTTAGTCAGGGGAAAGACAGTGCATTCCCACTTGCTTTCTTTTTAGATTTGTGCAATTTTTCAAGCTGCACCTCTCCCTTTTGTGTGTGCTGCATTTTAGAGCTTCAGATGAGGAGCAATCTCTTTGCATGAGAGACAGACACCTTTGCAGCAAAGCTGCTGCATCTCCAATAATCTAAAGTTTCTGTACTATACAGTTTCTGCAGTGCCACTTCCTGAAAATGAAACTGTGGCGTCCACCATCTGAAGCAGCTCAGTAAAAGGACAGAGAGAAAATCAAGAAGGAAGTGAGGAAGCAAGGGAAAGAGGGTGGGAAGAAGAGATGGATGGATGGACAGATGGGAGGAAGGATGGACTACAAGGTTTTCAAGAACATGAAAAGAAACAGAAATAGTGCCGTTTAAATAATACAAGAATAAAAAATCATCAAGCAGATTTTAATCCCACTCGGGACAGGAACCTCAGGACTGGATCTTAAAAGCACTGGTGTCTTTGGACAGGGAGGAAAGCAAAACGCCAAGCAAGACGCTGCACAAAGCCAGCTCATTTCATCTGACCACTTGTGCTGCGCTGACCCACCAGGGAAGCAGGTGACTTTCTTGCACTGGGTGATTCAAGGCAGCCTCAGCACGTGGCAAATACACATCTATTAGATGCCAGGTACTGTGTGTAGTGCTGTTCAATGGCAATTCCTCAGTCTCTGTGACTATTCACAAGGCAGGCACTTTTGGTAGCCCCACTTTACTGATGAGGGAAGCCAGGCGCAGTGTGTAAGGGGCAGCTCTGGGCTGTGCCGGCAGGCAGTGTGGCTTGATTCTCCACTCCCTGATGCTCCAAGTTGTGATACACTGATAGGGACTCTGGACAACAGAACATCCCAGGTCAAGGCTGTTAGGTAAGGGCCCACTTTCATCACCAGAGGGAACATGCGCTCTAACCGACTACCTGCCTCTCCTAGTTCCTCCTATTAGTATATTTGGAAAGGGCTATATGGGGCCAGAAACAACAAAGCATACACACTCAAACACAACTTCATACATTATATTTTGAATTGTCAAGCACATGTGTTTAAAATGCTGGCCAGGACTTTCAAATGAAGAATTTTTAATTACCTATCAACAGCCAAAAACTTCTTCCGTTCTTCCTCAATCTGAGTTTGAACTTTCTCAGCGTTGGAATTCTGAGTGATTAATATGTCCCTAAGTTGCTTCTGCTTTGCCATGAGTTCATCCACGACTTTCAGACAGTCATCTTCCACCTGAACAGAGAGGGTTTGCACTGAAGATTTACCACCCTGTGTACTACTAAGGCCAGCAGGTTCTGGCATTATCAGCAGGCCAGCCCAGTTGTTCCAAGACAAATGGGTACAGCAATCCCGTGTACAGCAGGCAGATTGAGTCTGTCATAGGCTGTGATCCACTATCATTCCACACCTTTTGCAAACTGGCAGTCCCTGCCTTTTGTTCTTCCTTTTAAATTCATGCCTCAGCTCACTGACCACACTGCCAATGCAGTTTCCTGCAACTGAACTGGCCTCCATGTTGCCTCTGTAGCAACACCTCCTCCTGCAGCCCCGGGCTCCTGACATTGCTGATGCAGGCCCCCCCCTCACCTGCCAGGCCCTTCCAGAATCGCAGCATCGCCCTGTGGTCCAGTGCACTCCATGACACCCGCCTGGCTGTCTCAACCTCTCACAAGGTTTCAATTTACTCTCGTTCACCAGCAAGTCCCCATCTGTGGATCCAGCCTGACTTCTCTGCCACCTGCAGGCTCTTTAATGACCTGCTGGAGGCACCATCAGGGCCTTGGCCAGGAAGTCAGCTCCAGGGCCCAGTGTCTCCCTTCTGCCTCAGAGCTGAGGCAAGAGCCACCTGTGGGACCCCTAGCACTCCCTCTCACCAGATGTCAGGGACTCAGGGAGCTCTGGGATTTTACTTGAGGCTGTTCTCAGATCTGTACCCTCCCTGTCACTGAGGACTCTTTAGGAGCTCAACACACAGCCCTCCAAGAAGAGACCCTTTCACCACCTGCATCCATTACCTTCTTCAGGTTGTCAATGTCTTCTCTACCTTTCTGGACAGTTTCTTTTAATGTGCTGATCTTGCTCAATTTCTTCTTAAGCAGATTGCGACTGTATTCAAGCTGAATATTAAGGAGGGTTTTCTGTTTTTCAAATTCTAACCTAGTATAATAAAGTCAAACATTACAAGTGGTAAGCAGATGCTTTCTTGTTTTAAAACTCTCTTCCATCATAAGCCCATGTGCTGCTTCCCCCCTCTACAGTGTTATCAGAAGCAATTCCAGGCATTGTGTAATTTCATCTGTAAGTATTTTTATAAGTTTATCTGGAAGTGAAGTGACTTTTAATTCAGAAATATAACCTATTATAGTCTAAAAGCATACACTGTACAACTGTTACTGCCAATATTCCTCACAGTCTCATCAATGAACTATTTCTTTTTTAGGTACCAGGAATTGAACTCGGCCTTGCGCTTGCCACGCAGGTGCTGTGCTGCTGAGCTACATCCGCAGCCCTGAAATAACTATTTCTATCAGGATCCACACATTGCATATGGGTGACATATTTCTTAAATCTTATAACCTATAGTTGTCTCCTCTAAGTTACACTTTAGGTGCTTACTCTTAAAAATAAATCAGTATTTTGAATAGCTATTCACATATAAACTTCAGTCTTGGGACTTTACGAACACTGCCTTCCGGGTGCCCTCTTCCACTGTGCCAGCCTCCTGCACACCTCACAGAGAATCTCTACAGCAATGAGCTCCTGCTCCCCTCCCTCTTTCCAGACCATTCTTTCAAGAAGCACTCTTAGCACTAACTGTAGCACACGCTACTAGATACATGGATCCCAAAGCAACAATAAAAGTGGAGAGAGAGATAAGGAGAGCTCACATTATGCCTGACTGTTAGCAAAGTCCTCCATGAACTAACTCACTTACTCTGCAAGACCATGAGGTGAGTGATACTATTATCCCTACTTAGCAGACAAAAGACCAAGGCAGAGTTCAGACGTAGGAAGGGGTGGAACCTGGTGTGACACACCTGGAGACAACTGAATCCCCACTCGTGACCTCTGATCAGGTCACAGAAAAAAATTACAAGGGATCCTAGAAAATATTTCAGATAAGACAACAACAAAAATAACTCCAAACTTTGTGAGATGCACCTTAAACAGAATTTCAGAGGCTAGTGAATAGCTTAAAATGGTTATATTAGAAGAGAAGTCTAAAATAATGTAAGCTGGAAAAAAAAAATAAATTAAAAGAAAATAAGGAAGGAGGAAAAAACCAACAGAAATCAGTAACAGAAACAAATTATAGAGAAAATCAGTGCTATCCAGAGCTAGTTTTTGGATCAGTGAACAGATACATCTCTAGCTAGATAGCAAGAACAGAGAAAAGACAAGCCACCAACATCAGGAATGAAAGCATATCAATATCAATGCTACAGACTTTTTAAAAAGTAAAACATAAATTATCAGTAAATTTATATTAACAAACATGGCAACTCAGATAAAATACATAAATTCCTGGAAAGATACAAACTACCAAAGTTTACCCAAGAAAAGAGATACCCTGAATAACCCTAAACTGTATTTATTAAGAAACTGAATCTGTAATTAAAAGCTTTCCCACACACATTCCTGTAATCCCAGAGCTCTGGAAGGAGGAGGCAGAGGACTGCAAGTTTGAGCCCAGCTGTGCAAACTTGGTAACCTAGCAAGACTACATAACAATTTAATGCAGGGCTGGGGATATAGCACAATGCAGAAGGCCCTGAGTTCAAAGCCCAGGACCATAAAAAATAAACAAACAAACAAAAACACTAACTTTCCCACAGAGAAAAGCAGGTGACCCACACGGTTTCTAAACACTTAGAAACAATACCAGTTCTACGTGAATTGCAGAAGAAAGGGAAAAACAATTTTCAGTTCACTTGATGTGTCTAGAATTACTTGGATACCAAAATATGACAAAAGCATTACAAGAAAAGATCAATACACTCAGAAAATAAAGTCAATGAAATTGTTAATATAATTTTAACAAATCAAATCCAAAAATATATGAAACTCTAACCCCAAAATATATGAAAATTAAGCTAGGTTTACCTGAGATACACAAGGTGGTTTAGCATTTTAAAATCAATATAACGAACTCTTTTTATTTACTAATAAATGAACTCTTAAAAATCCAACCATACAAACATCTCAACAGAAACCAGAGAAAGTATCTGACAAAATTCAACATTCATTTGTGATTAAAAGTAGAGGATAACACAGAAGGACTGTAAAGTAAGAAGAGAAGGGACTGCTTCGAGCCACTAAAGGGCACCCTGCGTCTCCACACTTCACTGAGAAAGACCCAAAGCTTTGCCTTCAAGCCTGGGAACAAGGCAGGATGTGTACTCTCACTATCTTAGTTTATTACCGTCCTGGAGTCCTAGCTAGTACAACAAGCTAAAAGAAATAAAAGATACATTAATTGGAAAGGAAGAAGTGAAGATTTTTATTCACTATCAATATGGCTCTCTATGTGGAAACTCTAAGGAATCTACAGAAGAGCTAAAAGAACTAGTAAATGTAAAGTGTGGTGCTTGCCCCCTCATTGGGTGGCTCAGGCAGGAGGACTGCAGTGCGTTCAAGGTCAGCCTGAACTACATAGTGAGACCCTGTCTCAAAAACACAAAAGTAAAAAACTAAAAGAACCAGTGAGTTTAGCAAGGTTTCAGGATATAAGCTCAATTTGCAAAAACTAGTTTTATTTCAATATACTACCAACAAACAAATTTAGATTAAAATTATAAAATAATTCCACTTAAAATAGCATAGAGATATGCAGTGCCTAAGAATAAAATGAAATGTGCACAAGACCGAACTTGTACCCTGAAAACTAAAAACTAATGACAGAAATTTAGGATAACCTAAATAAATGGAGCTAAATACCATGCCCATGAGGCAGTATTAAGAGGTCCCAAATTGATCTACAGATTCAACACAATCCCTATCAAAACCCCAGCAAGCTTTAGACAGCAACTGAAAAGCTGATGCTAACATGTACATGCAAACGCAAAGGACTGAGGCTGGGTAGAGGAACAACCTTTCTGCCTACTGCTGTAGTCTCAGTCCCTGGGAGGTGCCTGGCCCGCGGGAGGTACACATGGACAGTAACAAGTATGTGTTGGATGAATGAAGAGAACATCGAAGAATTATAAGCCGGGCGTGGTGGTGCACACCCCTAATCCCAGCACTGGGAAGGCTGAGGCAGGAGGATAGCTGAGAGTTTGAGGCCAGCCTGGACTACAAAGTGAGTTCAAGGCCAGCCTAAACTACACAGTCAAACTCTGCCTCAAAAAAAGAGAATAAATTGAAAGGAAGTGGGCCAAAATATTTGTTAGTTTTTATTTTAAGACAAAGAAAACTTTAAAAAAATAAAGACAAAGAAAACTTTTCTGTTTTCTCTAAGAATGTGTTACCTTTATATTTAAACAATATATTTCATAGAGAATCTGTGTGAAATGTAACAGGTATAAAGATGTACAAAAAGTGAATGTCTCTTTCTTCCTCTCAGCCGCTTCAAAGGCAGCCACTGGCCATTTCTAAACACACCTCACCTGCACACCCCTCCCAGGTGTCCTTTGTCTTCAGATTTGATTTATGATGCGTCTGTCATATGACTAAAAGTGTTTCCTATGTATTAACATTCTGTCAATCTTTTCTTTCATGACTCATGGGATACATATCATACTGAAAAGCCTTACAAAGTCAGAAATTATTTTTAAAAATTTATGACTTACTCTAATATTTTTATGTCATTTTTACATTAAAATTTTTGATGTAGCTGGAATTAAACTAAGCCTAAGAAATGACAAAGGGATCCAAGTTGTTTTTTAAAAATAGTATTTATTTCAAGATGATTTCATGAAAAACACAACTTTTTCCCACAAAGTATTAAATACTTTTTTTACATTTCTTTTTTTAAAATTTTTTTTTTACATTTCTGGACTCCTATGAGCCAGCAATATTTTGAATACTGTATTTTAAAATCTGTGGGTTCTAGTCCATCTCATTGCTTTTGTTTTCAGATTTTTCTTGGTAACTTCCACATGTGAACTCTAGAATCAGATTACCTAGTTAAAACAAATCTTGTCTATACATATACTAAGGTGAATTTAAACTGTAGATTAATTTAAAAAGAACTAACTTCTTTATAATACTGAATTTCTTTGTTAAAAAAATAGTATGTAGGGGCTGGGGATTTAGCTCAGCGGCAAAGCGCCTGCCTGGCAAGTGCAAGGTCGTGAGTTCGGTTCCCGGTACCGGAGAAAAACCAAAAAAAAAAAAAAAAAAAAATAGTATGTCTTTTTTGTTGAAGTTTCTGTTTGATTTCTTTAAAGAAAATGAATTTTCACTAACTATTTCTTGATGAACTAAACTAAGACTACCTCAGGCATAAAGCCTCTAAATGAGATATTACTTTTATACACATGTAAACAGACTACCAATATCTTTCAATACAATTACCTTTTTTGATCAATTTCTTGTTGCTGCTTAACATGTTTATTCTCAAATTCACGAATATTTTCCAGGCCAATTTCTTCACAAAAGTCACGGAAGATTTCATCTTCTACCTTTAAAATTTTTTGAAAACAACTGGTTTCACAATTAATTTTAAGAAATACATAAATAATACTTAAATATAAGTTTTTCACTCCAAAATTTTCTTAGGTCAGAACGAAAACTAATCAGACAAAGCATTACTGTACTCCGTGCTTTCTCTGTCTCCATGAGCTCTGCCTAGCTCCAGATTTCTTATTCAGAAACTAAAAAGCTCATTAACTGGCCTCATTAGATCTTCTGGGTTTATATACTGTTAATATAAAGCTAGAAGGATTCCACTCACTTTAGTTACACCAAAATATAATACTCTACTTAATTTTTTTTGGGTGGGGGAGTGGATTGGAGGCTGAACCCAGGGCCTTGCTCATGTTAAGCGTGTCCTCTGTCACTGAGCTACATTCCCAGCTCTTTTTAGTTATTTTGAGACAGGGTCTAAGTTGCCCAAGTTGGTCTTATTCTTGTGATATTCCTGTCTCAGCCTCCTGAATAGCTGGGATCATGGGTGTGCACTATTGCATTCAGCTAAGAAATTGTTCATTATATATGAGTAATATAATAGCACCTAACAGAGCAAAAAATCCCACAAGAGAATTAGAACACAGAATTAAGAATCAGAAATATTTTTAAACATTGGAGTGAACTAAATCCAATGTTTAAGCCTCAACAGTTTTAAAATCTTGCATTTACATATAATTACAGGATGAGAATGACCTGTTTAACAGGAGGACACGTTAAAAGCTTTTGGATTCAGGTGAATTTATACTAGATAGAAATGTGTTAAGACCATATTTTGACACTGTTTTGTTCTGGGCCTAGACAAACAACACAGCATCAGAGGACAGTTTCTAGACCTAGTCATAAATCCATGGTACTGTGAAGTGATTAAAGACATGGGGGATATTTAACCTGGAGACAATTAAGAAACAACATAAGCGTGATTTCAAATTATGCAAAAAAGGCAGAACTGAAAGCAACAGGTGCAAGTTACAGCGACTGTGGGACAAATGACTTTCTAAGGGTTAGTGAAACCCAGGTGTGTATCCTTTCACAAGCAGAGGTAGGATGCCCCAGAGCCAAGCACTGTGCCTGGCATGAAATAAATGTTAAAAAATAATGACCAGCTTGGTGTGTAGCAAATGCCTGTAACTGCAGTGTGCTGGGAAGCCAAGGGAGAGGGTCACAAGTTTGAGCCGAGTCTGGGCAACATAGTGAGACCTTGTCTCAAAATAAAAAATGAAGGGGCTGGGGATTTAGCTCAGCGGCAAAAGCGCCTGCCTGGCAAGCGCAAGGTCGTGAGTTCGGTTCCCGGTACCGGAGAAAAACCAAAAGAAAAAAAAAGAAAACTAAATGAATGCTATCTGATCTTGTCTGAACTAAATTCATTTTTGTGTCTCCTGAAAACCCATGTCTAAAATATAGCAAGAAAGCACAAGCATCACAT